CAAAGTTTTTGGCGTTATGTTGACGACACGTTTGTTGTGATCAAACGAGACAACGTAAACAGCTTCCACGACTATCTCAATAGTTTAAACCCACACATTAAGTTTAGCGTGGAGATAGAGTCCACATCGGGCACATTACCCTTTCTGGGCTGTATAACACATAAGGTTGGTGGGAAATTGAAAACGACTGTCTACCAGAAACCAACAGACACGGGGACCGTCTTAAGCTATTCATCAGCACACCCAAAGTCCGTGTACGCCAGCATTGTCTCATCGATGTTTCGTCGAGTTAGAGCGCTGTGCACAGAAGAGATCGACCGGACGGCAGCTCAAATCGAGATTGCCAACAAACTTCAAGAAATAGGATACCCAGTGAGTTTGATTAGGCGACAACTAAGGAAGATATTGGTTCCAGTATCTAGACCCAGTAAAGAATGGATTGGCACAGCAGTCATTCCATATAAAGCAGGAACATCGGAGGTTATTCGAAGATTGTTGAACTTAGCCAACATTGGAGTAGCTTTTCAGAAGGGGAAAACGCTACGCTCAGTTTTGGTGCAATTGAAAGATCCCCTGCCGGCTGAAAGGACTAGGGATTGTGTGTACAAAATTAACTGCAACGATTGTGCTAAGGTTTATATAGGACAAACTGCCAGGGAATTGCACACCAGAATTGGTGAGCATGAAAGAAGGATTAACAAGCCACTAAGGAATGCAGAAGAATACCAAACGCTGGTCAAAGACTCAGCGATGGCGGTACATGCCTTAGACACGGGACATAGAATAGATCTGGAGAATGTGGAAGTCTTAAGACGGGGACTGCGATTCACACCACAACGGCTGATAGCCGAGGCGGTGGAAATCACTAAGCATCACAGCGTGAATAGAATCGAGGGTGTGGAGCTAGCGAGCGTATGGAAAGCGGTCTTAGATAAGCCGAGTTGACACGTGACGGTGTGGTTGTCAATCCACTTAGGATCATTAGAAAAAACCGGGGGGTAGGGGTGGAAACCCCAACCGACCAAAGGTCACAGCATCCCTCCTACACAACTCTCTTAGCACTAGCTCACCCACACAGACTAACAGAAGGTTCAAACGAAGTTCAAGAGGAACCATCAAATGAACCGAACCAGAAGAACTAGACCCTAGGCAGGACCCAAACACATGTAGGTTTCCCCACCGACCCAACACTTGTTCAACCACTCTAACACACTAACACCCCTCTGCTGACACCCAACAGAGATTTAGCTTGACTTAGCTGATTGGTTCTCCTTCCGCCTTAAATCTCGATCACCCTCGGAACCTAGTCACTTGGCCTGACGAAGCTTTTGCGTCAAAAGCGAAACGTTGCCCAACAATAAATCTACCGATTGTCACCAAACTTTTTCGAAAACGATTAGAACTTATTAACAGGCTGCCTACGGTTTTGCCATGCTTAAGACCCATGGGTCGGGCGTATATTTCTTTGCATATTCAATTTGTTCAAACAGAAGAACGACTGTTCGGAATTTACAAACCGAATATGCCCAGTTGGTCCCCGAGAACACAGCTAAATCGATAGACTGCTGTCCACGTGCTTCAAAGAGTTTAGTTTCTCGAAGAAACGTACTTTTATTTCTTGAAAATTGGATAAGTAGGCTGAAGAGTGACAGTATAATAAGTTTCGATTTCATGTTGCATAACGCCATTTCATTTTGCTTAGGAAGCTTTCATTGTATGCGGGTTCCACTTCGTAAAAGGCACATTTATTTATATCTTGCAATGGATTTTCCGTCTGACCGCAGTATTTCTAAACACTGGAAATGACAGGTTCTTACAGAACTCTAATTATAGTAACAAAATAATGGCAAATGAAACAGCTCATCTGCCGAAGAGTGCACTGTTGGGGATGGCCAAATGTTTGCTCTCGTTGTGAGCGCACACAATCGAGAAGAACACGATTTGTGTCATCATCTGCTTTTTTGGTACAACTGAGATAAACGGTGACTGTGATGATAGAAAACCGCCTTAAGGGCTGTTCCACCAATCTGGCTGGAAAAACACTGAATCCTTTTGTCGTGCAGAACAAGTAACATAGAAACGAATGTACTTTTTGCCGTCACTTGCTTCAGGGAATGAATTTTCGAACATTTTTATGTCATCCATGTTGAACAAGACAGGACATTCAGAAAACAGGCAAGGGATAAATGCAGAATACTTTTGGAACACATTCTCAACTAGCATGTTATCATTTCCCCGATAGGCGGATTTCCAGCCCCACCCCCGCACTCCCGAGGAATAGTCTGGTTTCCCGCTGATTACCAAAAAACTTCAATCTTCCCTATGTTGAGCATCCTGAAAGCTATTGAGACCTGATTAGTCGCTCATATTTGCTACACCAACACAAACAGGCTTCCTGATGATATCTTTTTTGGCAGGGACCGTATCCCAAAGGCACACCTAATGTGATTCAGTCAAGGGTCTTAACTGCGGGGCATGTGCGTAAATAGCGACGTTTCCTCGAACAAGATTATTATTATGGGTATACACAAGTATCCCGAAGTGCCAATGCCATAAACTGGGTGATTCCTACCGTTAGGAGTTAAATTACGGAAGCCTTACTCCACAGTATCCCCGCCTAGTTGAATTAACAGCATTAGTTATAGATTGTTCTCAGTAATCTGTGGAACCACGCCGAGTTACGCGCAAAACCACAAAAGCCAAATCGTTCAAATGGAAGTATATCTACAAATGCGGTACTACAAATACAATGAGAAAATAATAAAACTTTACAATTCTCAAATCGTGGGACTATGCCGCTTTAGGAACTGCTAATTCCTAACGGATCTCAAAGTCCACACCGACTCAAAGCCACGTGTTTACTAGAAAGCGAAACCACGCGTTGAGTTAAACAGCACGTCCGACGACAAGGGCAAAGAACGGTTTATGTTCATGTCAAAAACAAGAAAAGCGGCATAGGTGCAAAACCGAAATAACGAAAAGGGGATTCGCGTTGTACAACATAAAAAATAGAGGAAAGGAATCAACATTAATAAGGTTCAAATCTCATATATATATACATATATACATACACACACACACCAAAAATGGGCAGTCGGAGTCAACGCTTTTAATTTCGGGTGGCGTGATAAGACCGCGTCGTCCTTAAAGCCATCTATCTTAGGAAACAGCTTAGTGGTGAATTTTGGGTTCGGGAGGACTCTTGTGGGCTGGGCAGAAGGAGGAGTTAGAAAATTATTTCAGCATTGTACGTTGTCTCATTTTCTTACATCTTCAAATCTTTGGTCCGTTTTTTTCGTGCGTTTCATAGTCTAACTTGTCAGCCACATGAATTCCGGTAAATTGCGTTGAACGGAAGGACTAGTCTATCAACAGCGCAGATGGTCTCACTGATTCGCGGGATGACTGAACTCTTGGCCTAGGACACTTCTGTTGTAAGTAGACTTTCATGTTTCATTTGAGGTTTCATGCGATAAAGCCAATCTAGAAAGTAAAAAAACACTGCAAGCTTTCCGAGAAATATACTCATTTGCAAATCAATTTGGTTTTCAAGAGAGACTCAACTGAACCTCTCGTTTATGATATTCTACAACTGAACGTGCTGCACACAAGCCGGTCGTGGACTGTCGAAGTGTTTTCAGCAACCTTGCGAGTAGTTTCCTTTATGAAAAAAACTGCAAGCTGTTTCATAATCATCAGCGGGCATTTTTCAAATAGCCTGGGCAGATCGAAGCCACAAGGATTCAACATCGTACCATTTGGTCACCAGCGTGATCTAGTTAAGTCCTGACAGACGTAGCTCAAAGCGCTCACGTGATCCACAGCAACCTTCGAGTAGTTTCCTTTATGAAAAAAACTGCAAGCTGTTTCATAATCATCAGCGGGCATTTTTCAAATAGCCTGGGCAGATCGAAGCCACAAGGATTCAACATCGTACCATTTGGTCACCAGCGTGATCTAGTTAAGTCCTGACAGACGTAGCTCAAAGCGCTCACGTGATCCACTGCGCATTTCCTCCTATTTACTGGATCAGAGAAACAGCAGACGATAAAAGCATCATTTTCGTTCGTGGTTAGAAGCGCAGCAATAAATATAGCGACTGTTTTTGGATAAATTTTTCGAAAGAAGCTATAGTGTGTTTTGAATCTAAATTAGAGTCGCTTAAAATTCCAGCCTATGTTCATAGCTCTCCCGGAGCACTATTCTGTTTGATGTAACTGGAGTGACATTGACTACCTAAATGTTTACATTTGTATCCATCAACTGTTGGTAATTGATCAGGTGGCTGTTGATCTATTCGCCGAGCTTGGCAATTGATTTGCAAACCTTTCGTCGCCATTCGACAAGGCATCTTCAGTGCGCTGCTGGTTGGGTAGTTCCTCTCTTCCTGCCTGCATTTGTATAGCTTACAAAAAGCAGCCTTTGCGCTGTAACCTGCATTCTGGTTGGTCCGATCTTAATCTGTGTTGAGTTGTGGTTTATATTTCTTACTTCCTACGACCACGCTACTGTTGAAATTGCCGTCCATTGTCGTCTCTTTCGGTTGGCCCGCTCTTGGTCTGTATTGCGTTGTGGTCGGCTTATCCGTTTGTTTGTAGCATACCTCCTGTTTTTAGTAATTTGTTGTTCTATTGATTTCTTTTTTGAGTCCTTGTTCGGCCTCGGGTTTTGTGGCTCTGGATTTCCTTTGTCCTCAGAGGCTGGTAGACAGGATCAATCTCAGTGCATATGATCATGGCTCCATCAGTGAAGTACCACGCCTCCATGAACTCGCGTTCTTTCTTTGTTCTTGCCTGGCCCAGTGCGCTGACGTTATTCCAATCAAATTTGTGTCCTTCTCCATCTTCGTGTGAAGAGAGAAGAGAGAGTGGTCGTATCTCCTAGTGGAGGGGTTGTGTTCGTTGGTTCTGATTGACAGTTTCCTCCCTGTGTGTCCCACGTAGTGTTTTTCACAATCGTTGCATTAAATTTTGTAGATTACATTTGTCTTTCCCATCGCATTAATCATCCCCTTTGGTTTTTATGATGCTCGTCGCAGCGTGTCGGTCAGTGTGTGGGCAAATTTTATGGCATGCTGCCGTAGTATCCTGGCGGTCATCTCCGAAATGTTCTTGATATATAGTAGTGTGATTGCTTTGCTTGTGGTTGAGGTTTTCTAGTTGTTTGAATCGGATTTCCTCAGAGATCTCCAGACAAAATTCCTTGGGTAACCGTCAACATCAACATGGAAACGGCAACTCTCTCCCGGTCTTCAGGATGGACAAGGTTGTCATCTGAAGACGAAATTCCAATTTCTGGACACCCAGAGGATAACGTCAACTCCGACTATCCCGATAGTCGAGTGGAGCTGCAACGATGGTTTGCCGAGCAAAGAACGAGAATCAGATACGTGACTGAAAGTGAGCGGAATGAAATGAATGCATACTTTGTTGGACGCTCAATTCTGGGTAAATCAGGTGACTTCTCCTCGACAGTCTTCGGGTTTAAATCTAGAGATCCGTGAACAGAGGACCCAGGAACCTCAACTATATAAACTCAAGGATCGATATTGCGGAAATCGTAAACTAACAAACCAAGAAACCGTCATATTATGACGGCTTTCTTATAACCGAATGGTGAATTGAACTCTTTGTAGAGGTGGATTAGGGTGTTAGAATTGACGGTTCAACTAGATCGCAACCGGGACAAGCACAACAGTCCAAAAATCAAAATACTCCTCTGTTTCAAAGATAACTTGGATTTTTCAGCTTGATCATTGATCATGAAAACTAAAGACAGCCTCTGGGTGATGTTTTGGTCGAGTTCAATCGATCAGTGTACATTGAAAAGCTGACCTGAGGTTCATTTATAAAACCTACAAGGAACTCTTGTAGCTGTCACTAACGAATAAAAAGACAAATGTGAATGTTCCACATCGTTAACGAGAGGATATGGGGAAAAACAAGGTTATTATATTAGTATATGCGCATTCAGACACTAGAAAATTATAGTGGTGATACACTGAGATTTATTGGTCGACGCTCCGAGTACGACGGGTGACCTTCCCCAAACCACAATTCCGGTCCGCCTGTCTCGACCAGACAACTGACAAAGAGATTGCGCCCTTTTGGTTGAAGTGCACTCGACGGGTTTGAGGCGCGAGTGATTCTGCAGGGTAGCGTTCCTTAGTAACAGACAGTACATTTTGAATTTACTGACTCTGGTCAAACAAAATTGTATGGCATTGTGCTGGTCGCGGGATATGTGTTGTTCGTATAACTCTCGTTTGAACTGTCCTGTTCCTGTCCTGGGGTATTTATTCTGATAAGTACACACGAAAGAGAGAAAGCACTGCGCGCGAGTTCCGCTCTTATTGGATATCATCAGCAGCGCATATCCAATGGCCGTGCCGGGGTTTGAACTCCGCGCATCTGACATGGAAGGCGAGTGTATTACCACTACTCCACCAAAGTAGGATGGACTTGTTTGGATTTTAACTTCTCAAAGGCGAACGTGTTCACTCTTGACTGATGTAATTGGCAGGCCTGATTACTCGAACGACGAGTCCTGAATGTGACGACCGATTGATCCACCTTCAGGACTTCCCAGTCTGGTAGCACCACAAACGTCTGAAACTCGCAGGACAAATTCCATTCCTATTGCGCTTGGGTCACGGGATATGTATTGTTCCATGCGGAATCGCACTGTAGATTTCCTCAGTGAGGCGGAAAGTCAATGTGTTCTGCAATCCGCCCTCTAGCGTGCTCACTAGTCTCCCTGGTGTAAGTAGATCGTGAGCCCCACAGTAATCTAGTGGGCACCATTAGTAAGGTTACCTGAGGACAACGGGCTTCTTGATTTTTATCCTACTGTATGGCATATTTTACAAAGTGGGTGAGTTAAATTGGGGCAAAACCGCATGAATTATTTCGCCAGTACACTGACTATACGCTATTTGTTTAACTGAGAGAAGTCTCAATTTCGAGATGTTATCTTGTTCATCCATTGTCATTCGTTTGAGAGACACCGCACAGCTGTTTTTCACATTGTCTGCTGAGTTGTTTGGATCTTGAGACTTCATTAGGGCACACTTTGTCTAGCATGTTTTCAGTAATTGTATAACCATTCGCTTTATGTTCACCGGTTAGCATGACAAATATTCCTAATACCACCCACAGATAGGTGATTGTTGATAAACAGTTACACTGAAGCCCTACTGGATAGCAGTGATAAGACAATCCATGGAAATTAACGGTCGTTCCGGAATTTCAATTTCACATTATCGTAGAGGGAGTTGAGAAACCCCGTAGCACGGCCAAGAAAGTCTCATCAGCACAACGCCAATTTCGTGGTAGGATGTGGAAATTATTTGGAAGTTTGTCAGGCTTCAAAACCGCCTAGTGTTCTCCTCTCAAAGTCATTCGTATCCGGTCCGCTCTGTCACCTCGGACTCTACAACAGTTTTGCTGTCACTTTTAAAAAGAAACTGATTGTGCGACTCTTATCGATGGTTTGCTTTTCCTTCCTTGTAAATTGCACCCTCATCCGAGAGGTAAAAAACCCTATAGTTATTCTGCTCATTCCTAAGTCATTAAAACCCGGACATCAGCTGCCGAGTATTTGGCTTTTGTACGGAAGGTACCGATTTGACTCTGTCAGAGACCCATTAGGAATACAGTGCTCAGGATTCCTGTCGACAGAAAATCGTCAGAGAGCGATTCTATGTGTATTTCTCTCTTAAATGCCTACTTTTGCACAATATCTGAAGGCTATTTGATATCTACGGATGTGTTTGGCTAGTTGGAGCAGGGGTTATTCGTAACTTGATTGGTCAGTTTGTCATTTATTTTGCGTTGTGGTACGTTTAAAATGGGTTACTTTGCCTTCGTCTGGCAAAATTCATGAGACAGTGTCCAAATTCTAATTCTTAGGAGTTATACTATTGAATTATTTGAACCTCTACTACTTTATACAACCAATTCACACCTGCTTTTTAGTCGCAAAGTTTACAAACAGGTATATGATTTCGTGATGAAAAGTTCATCGGGGTTACTGCTACTGTGAATATATTGGCAGGGATTCAGAAATCGGTGTGATCTTAACACTATGTAGATGAAATTTATACGACATTTTAAGCAAAACACATGCCAAGTACCGCTAGTTTCTCGACAGTATCCAGTTCCTTTTTAGATTTATGGTGAAGCTGGCGTCAGCCTGATCACAGTAGGTACGCAGAAGGTCACCGTGTACTACAAAAACTTTGTGCCCATTGGTCCAACTCCAACTGCCAAGCAACCCGTTCGACAGTCTTCCTAAAAATTTCCCATCGTACATAAGGAGCTGCACCTGAAGGGTATATTGGTTTAGGATGGGTATCATCCCTGCTTCAGCCTGAAATGTTCCGAGAAAGCCAGCGTATCTCCCACTAACATTCGAGTATGAAGACGATTTCATTCTGTACACCATGACAAACTTGCTTTGTCCCTTCGATGACATCAGTGGATTCAGCTACACAATCCGAAAAGCAAGTCATATCGGGAAAGGAATCCGGGGTTGCATCTCGAAGGGATTGGAAAGGACTGATTCTGCCTGTCCAATTATTGCGATGTTTAAGCACTTGTCAGACAGTAACCTATCAAAAGTACAAGAAAAGTATAAGTGGAGCTCTATTACTATCAAACACATGAGTCTAAATTTGTGTGAGTTACTCACACTTTATTTCATGGCCCAACGGTTTACTCCTCATCTCCAAGCCAGAACTTCGTGGGTTCAGACCGTCTTGGAAACTTGTGAGACACGTACTGCCGATAACTTCCGATAAGGATAAAACAGCTGTACAGTGCTTCTTAACTTTTCAGCATGGATAAGCGAAATCGGGTTCTCTCCAAATTATTAATAAACTTGTATAAGCCTTGTAAGACCTTTTTCTTGTTTTTACTCATCATTTATTTCAAACACAGATACTTTAACATTCGGAATCTAGAGTGCTCTTATTTTACCCTAAGCACAAGAGTCATACCGAATTTTCTCGTTTATTCTCGCGACACATTTGGATTCCCACACTCACGATGACGAGCAGTCGCCGATCGGTTCAACCCACATTGTATCTGCACTCTATCCCACGTGACTTCCTCTTACAGACCACACACATCCATAGGCTGCCTCTAAGTGATGCATCTTTTGTCTTGCAGAATGTACTATTAGAATAACTTCTACGCTGTGACGGAAATATGAATCCGCAAGACATTTCGAACCTCGAATGCTACGCCTTTCGAATGAGACAGTCGCTGGAACCATCAGTTTGGGTGTCAGCGCGGTTATAGCCGGAGTACGGACGAAGAGATTTTTAACTGGCAATAGCAGGACGATAATAAATTAGCTCTGTGAAAGATTTGTTACACAAACTTCTCGCAGTCAGTAAAGGATGAGCATTTCTGAATTCAGCTACATTTTGTAACAACAATTTGTAAATTTAAAAAAGCACGGCCGGACCCAAATTTTGGTTAGATAGACATCAAACATTCAGCTCATCTATTCCTTAGTTTTTGTACTCTGTGCATCCCGTCTATTTACATAGACGAACGGCGAAAGCGAACCACATTATCTCAGAAGTTGTGCCCTGTGAGTGTACAAAACAGTATTGTGTGACCGCCAGAGAAGGAGCTCAAAGCCTCGTTTTTCGAAAAAGTTTGGTTTTTGTACTGCATCCCGTCTATTTACATAGACGAACGGCGAAAGCGAACCACATTATCTCAGAAGTTGTGCCCTGTGAGTGTACAAAAAAAACTTGTGTGACCGCCAGAGAAGGAGCTCAAAGCCTCGTTTTTCGAAAAAGTTTGGTGACAATCGGTAGATTTATTGTTGGGTAACGTTTCGCTTTTGACACAAAAACCTCGTCAGGCCAAGTGACTAGGTTCCGAGGGTGATCGAGATTTAAGGCGGAAGGAGAACCAATCAGCTAAGTCAAGCTAAATCTCTGTTGGGTGTCGGCCGAGGGATTTTAGTGTGTTAGAGTGGTTGAACAAGTGTTGGGTCGGTGGGGAAACCTACATGTGTTTGGGTCCAGCCTAGGGTCTAGTTCTTCTGGTCCGGTTCATTTGATGGTTGCTCTTGAACTTCGTTTGAACCTTCTGTCAGTCTGTGTGGGTGAGCTAGTGCTAAGAAAGTTGTGTAAGAGGGATGCTGTGACCTTTGGTCGGTTGGGGTTTCCACCCCCATCCCCCGGCTTTCTCTAATGATCCTAAGTGGATTGACAACCACACCGTCACGTATCAACTCGGCTTATCTAAGACCGCTTTCCATACGCTCGCTAGCTCCACACCCTCGATTCTATTCACGCTGTGGTGCTTGGTAATTTCCACCGCCTCGGCTATCAGCCGCTGTGGTGTGAATCGCATTCTCCGTCTTAAAACTTCCACATTCTCCAGATCTATTCTGTGTCCCGTTTCTAAGGTATGTACCGCCATCGCTGAGTCTTTGACCAGCGTTTGGTATTCTTCTGCATTCCTTGGTGGTTTGTTAATGCTTCTTTTATGCTCACCAATTCTGGTGTGCAATTCCTTGGCAGCTTGTCCTATATAAACCTTAGCGCAATCGTTGCAGTTAATTTTGTACACACAGTCCCTAGTCCTTTCAGCCGCCAGGGGATCTTTCAATTGCACCAAAACTGAGCGTAGCGTTTCTTCCTTTCTGAAAAGCTACTCGAATGTTGGCTAAGTTCAACAATCTTCGAATAACCTCCGATGTTCCTGCTTTATATGGAATGACTGCTGTGCCAATCCATTCCTTACTGGGTCTGGATACTGGAGCCAATATCTTCCCTAGTTGACACCTAATCAAACCCACTGGGTATCCTATTTCTTGAGCTCAAAGCCTGTTTTTTTTTACTGTACTGATCCGCCTCGGGAAAGTAGTGCACGTAAAAATCCTGTTTGGCAGATGGTTCCAGATTTTACTCGGGAAAAGTCTGAGGTCAGCAAGTTTTGGAATATAGAGTCCATTTCAGAGCTTTTCGATCATAGTTGGATACATGATTATCAAATGTGTGAATTGTTCAGTTTGATATTCATACATTTCTTCAGTAACCAAGTCGTGATGCCTTTTTCCAACTAGAATCAAAAAGGATACTGTTGCGATAAACTCACCAATCAGTTTAGAAAAACAGGGGCAAAAGAAAGCCATCAGTGGCAGCCTACCCGGGGAATGCAACGCTAAAGAATGTTCACCTATGAACTTGAGAGTCAAAAGAATATGGATTCGGGGATTGGGGCGCCAGTAACTATCAGGGCGCAGTGTCCCCTGGCAACGCACCAAATGGAAAATGTTAGTAGTCGTTCGGCAACTATACATACACTGAAATCTTATACCTCAGTGGACAGCATGATTTAGAGACAGTTCCGACTCTCAGTTGGAATGCTGCGTTCAACCACAAACAGCACGGTAGTACTGGCAATGTGATTTGGAATTCCGCCATGTCAAAGCCGGTATGCCCAGTAAATCTGTGGACAGTTCCGACAACCAGACGACCCTACAGATAACCTCCTCTTGCAGTAACACCACAAAGTTGTCAGCTTTCTTCCAGTCAAGCGAGGTTTGTTGAAATCACAAAATTCCAATCAGGGTATTGCAAGGACAACACTGCTTTCGAGGCATGGTGGCATCCAAGCAATTGTCTGCTGTCAAGCATTTGGACTTGACAGTAGCAGTGGACGGGCTGAAACCTTGCCGATGTGCTCATATACACTTCACAGCTATGGTGAACACATCGAATACGGTAGGAAGACTCTCATATGGACGAAGTCGTACATGATAATGCAATGACGGTTACTGGAAGTTAAGCCAATGAAAGACCTAAAAGATCATTATGATTGTAAACCTATATTCATTACTATCCACTGGCTTCTGGTGTATCTCGATTCTCTGTGTCTGGACATTTTCAGATCGCTTTCGTTCCCATGAGCGGTGACACCGCTTTAGACCATTGAATGATCCACCGTATCGATTTGCCCGGGGGAGACTAGATCGATTGATCAGTGTGAAAAGCTGCATAAAATATGGGCAGAAGGTCAGATAGCTGATTTGCGGTCAGTTCTGTCAATGATAGTCTGTTTAGTAAGCTTGTGGTTTGAGCAGCCGTGATTCCGTTTATAGGCAGCACACGAGGTCAGCGCTAGATGCCGTCGCATTTACCAACCCGCTAAAGAGAGGTTCATTAAATTCATAAAGCTTTAGTCATTTTTCCCTTGAGCTTTGATAGATGTGACCGAGTATGAATCGATTTCTTAACACATAAAATCATTCTATATTCATAGAAAAGTGTCATTGCCGTAGAACCAAGCGAACGGGATGTTAGACAGAAAATTCAAGCTGTTCACTTGTTCAGTCAGAAGGTGCTTACCGTACGATATTCCAGTGAGGTGTTTCAGTGGGAGGTTAGACACACCCAACTATCGTGACAACTTCGAAATGTTGACGTTCCCCCACTTGTAAACAATAATCCCGGGGTCATTGAATTGTCCGAAAAAACGTTTGGGTGGTTTGGGAGCACTGGATAGTCTGAGAACCACATATCCGACAAAGTCTTAGGTAGACGCACATAGTCTGTCCATCAAACAGATCGTTGCTTCTTCGTTTCGGATTCCGTAATAGACAAATCTGGAATAACTAATTAGTGGTTTTGTCACAAGTTGAAAGCGTGATGTCTGAGAGAACTTATACACAGACACTGTCTATCCGAAAGCCAGAGCACTCCATATTTAGTCCTGTTTAGACTTTATTAGACAGCACCACGGTGTAACACAACATCTCGAATCGAATCGTTGACAATCCACGGCACGGTGGAATGCCAACAGATTTACTCCTACAAAAAAAAACTCGCGTCCCACAGGATAAGAAAAAGGGAGAAAATATGAACTGAGTAGGTTGGTCTTACTGGATTGGCTACGAATGAATATATTTTAGTCATGCTCAGACGCAGAGATTGTGGCCTGTCCAGTAAACTTACCGTCTCGTGAGCCACCATAGAAAGTCGGTGAAATGAGCACCACAGGTTCATTGAGAAGGGTTTCCATTAGTGGTTGATCAGATTGACAAGCTTGGCAGTTAAAATGCAAACGTTCGGCCCGCCGAACAAGTCAACGGCCACCTGATCAACCAGCAATAAAGGCACCCAAGCTAGAGATATTCTGGCACATTTCCAGAATGGATTCTGCCTGAATTGATCCATGAACCATTTTATAATGCTGAGAGGTTTGATCCTGTTACTCTAATTACGTTTAATGGGCAGTGTATCGTGAGGAAATCTCGCTACAATGTGCAGTCACTTGCAGGATTCAGGACGCATCGGGTGTAGCAGACAGAAAGTCCGCTGGAGACGGTTGAGGAAGCTGCTAACTAGTTACAAAGTCTAGCTTACCTACTGAGGTAGGGCAGAAACGAGTTACGAGCGGATGGGTTTTAGATTGAGAACTGCAAAATGACATGTATCCCTAGGTAAGGGGATGGCTTTTGAAGACACTCAGCCACCGTAGGCCATTTCTTGTGAGAGGATTGTACACCTGTCATCTATACCACCTGAGGCTGAGGTTGTCGCTTAACCTGCCGAACAAGTACGGCTCACAGAAGCGCTTATGCACAAGGCACTTACAGAGGGACAATCCATTAAAGAATGGTCATGACTAAACAACTTTCCGATGGATTTTGGTCCCTTCGTTTGATGAGGTCGAAATGGAATTTGGGTTGATGATGGGGTGGGTGAGCTGCTTCGCTCGGGTTCACCTCTTTCAATGTGGTCCACCGCACCGGTAGGCCACTCGATAAGCTTGTTGTCAGGTTGATGCTGGCAAATCGCAGATGGGGTTTGTCTGAGGCACTGCGTTACCGACCGATCTGTCGGATATCCAAAGGGGACGTTTTTTTCGAATTTATCCTCGGTTAAAAAGACACATGCCAACAAAATACATACTCCGTTGGACGCATTCAAACTACTGCCACTACTAATAGCGAAGCTGTGCCACAATGGTTTGTATTCATCGGACAACAATTTAAACACGAGGATTCATGGGGAACGTCAATTTGTTCACTTTTATGGAGTAACGGTTTTCGTGCACAAACGTTTCACAAAATGATGCCACAGTGCCTTCGGCATTGTGGCTCTCAGTGGGTGAGTATATTATCGCCCACCAACCGGTAATCAATGAGCAGTGCATGGGAAATCTTATCAACATGATCAACTAGTCTCAAGGCGGCCTGAGATAACGACTTCACTTTTCATGTTTCGCGTCCAAGTCACCTATTGCTTTCATTCTTGATGTTGATAACTCCCTGTTTGCCTATGCGTGCAAACCTGGTGATTGCACTTGGGGTTGATGGGATGACCTGGATACAGTGAACTCATGGAAGTATATCATGGGGACATATTTTTGACTCCTGCATTCTCCGGCCATATTTAGGGGCTGCAATCGCTGCTCAGATAACTAACTGGTTGACACCAGGAACCGGTAGGGTAAGCGTGATATCGCTACCTTCTTGAGGTGACGCACTGATGCATACGGGAATCTTAGATGGGTGACGAGGGGAAACTGACATAACGAGGCTTGTAAAGGATTCGAGGCAAGGATAGGCGAAATTGGAAATTAGAGACAAGCGGTTCTTGTTGTCAACTGAGGAATCGACATCCCAAGCTTGTAGTACCTTTATGTAGCTTGCAAAACAAGCCCCTGATTTCTTCCGCCTCTGTTGCTAACCCTGGTGTTTGTGTATTAATTGTATCGGCTTACGTTCCACCATTTGACACATTACTGAGATTCTAAAAATTACCCGTATTACGTATAATTCTGAGGGAGCCTAGTTAGCATACTAGGCATGTCAGAGAGCTAAGGCTGCAGATACGCCAGAAGTGACTTTCCGTGACAAATGGCGTACAGACCAGGTAAGGTATCTTTCCACTTGGTAGGCCAATCTGTACCGAAAGACGAGAAGCACTGTACGAATATTTCATCTTTATTGAAAACCACCAACGCTGCGCATTTCATCAGAATCGAGGGGAGTTCCGATTACACAAACTCTCCGTCAGTAGTTTTAGAACTTGACCGTCCGGCCAGGAGCGGCTGATTATCCACACTTAGACAGGATATGGCGCCACTCATCCATCAATCAGGATCACATCACGCGACTGACCAGTCAACTGACGATTTCCAAGGTGAAGATGTGAAACAGTTGTACGGTGCTTCCTGGCTCTTCAGTAGAGGTCCACCCCACTTACTGAGCCAAATCTCAATCCAAAATCCCGAAATCTAGCCATACTACCTTGTCCAATAGTTGGTAGCCATTGATGGTACGGGTACATCTGATGAATGGGACGGGGCTACCAAACTCTTCTCCACATACGTCTTGCGTTTTCAGCTGTTTTTTGTCCGCACGTGAGTAAACAGTTATGGGATATCAGTCGGTAACACGCACGGTTTCGTCATGTATTCATTCGGTCTTATTCCCCTGAGTTGTTACCGACCACATGGTATTGAGCTGGTCACACACGCGGCTGGAAGTAATCAACTCGTAGAATTATTTATTTTGGACCGAGATCCACTAACCTATTACGATCTGATACCCAAATCCCAGGAAACGGATGATAGTCGATCATAACCTAATTTCTTTCTTACCACAGCTTGTTGCGCAACTGTTTTGGTCGGACAGCTACGATGGAAATGTCAGAAGGGATTAGGAAAACTAGATGAGGAAATGTACAACAGCAGACAAAAAGACGCTCGTTGGTTAACCTTTGTTTTTTTTTAAAGGAAATCTCACCTAAAAATAGCGTGGCATTAATTCTCTCAGTCTAACCTGACATCCACTCCATGTGTATATCTCCAATACGTGCGAATATGACAAATGGAGGCCACCTATTCCTCTGACGAGAAAGCTAACCAGTCTGTCAGATCTCAGGCTGCCAACCTATGAAAGGAGTTGTGGTACCGGTTGCCAATCGATCATGCAACAGTCGGATGAGCTCACATGTCGATTGATATTTTCGATAGCGAATTTTCCGTTGGAGAACAAGACAACCTAATATAGCCCACAATGAAACGTCACAGCCGGCCCAGCAAGCACAACTTTATCCCCTGAAATTTGCAAATTCACATAAACACTCAGCAGGATATGTTCTGCCAGATTTTAACTGTTCCACTCATGAAGATAGCCGGAAAAGGGCTACGGTAAAACCGTGGACTTACTCTCATTTGGGGTTCAGGTTGACTGCTTATTATGGACAACCTGTTGTGGGGGATGACAACCACTTACCAAAAAAATATTCTGGTAATAAATATGGTTAAAATTATTTTAAAGTTCGTAACGATCATCCATTCTCCATCCAGGCATTTATTTCTAATAAAACTTTCTCGCCTTGGTGACGCCTCAATCAGAGTATTCCTTACCTGTTGCTTGACATCGCGCATCCGATACAGTACTCACGTCATGACAAAGTTCCCCTAAAGAAGAGATACGTCCGTTGAAGATAGCATCTTGTCGACATGGAGACCGAACTTCCAAAATAAATGGGATGCTTTCTGTCCCCTTAGATGACTGATTCACCGTCCAAGAGAAAATGTCGCAATGTAACTGTTCAATCTAATCGTCAAGATTCAAGAGTCAGATATCACAACCATCACATTTGGTTTCGCATACCCTATCCTATTAGATCAACGGATATCTCTTGATAAGAACTGACTTGGTTTGACAAACAATTTAGTCCGGAATACGCATACACCACCATTCGGCAGAACACATACAGCAGAATGTAATGAAATCGCAACGTAAAGAGAAGCGGCGTAAGATAAGTCGATAATAGTCGTGTTCCCATTAATTACCATTGTTTTTTGTTGATACGTTGATATGCACCTTCCAGATTTGCCTCAGCTGGGTGGGGAAAAACCACTGATTCCTAATTACCTAGATGATACAGGCTGATAATCGTCACTACTTAGGTTCATAAGGCCGCATTAGTATTATTCAAAGATGTGTAATAGTATTAGTGTAGTATAGTATAGTATAGTATATAGTATAGTATAGTATAGTATAGTATAGTATAGTATAGTATAGTATAGTATAGTATAGTATAGTATAGCATAGTATAGCATAGTATAGTATAGGGAAACTGAACTGAGTCTGATTTATTCACTCCACCCACTCCACCCACTCACACACTCATGCACACACACACTGAAACACTTTTGAAACCGGCTGTTACAGGATAGAAGGCATGTACTCACGTGCACACAGTGGACTTAATTGCAGTGCCAATCAGAACTCTTGGTGAAATCACGAGACACTTTGGAGGCTGGACAAAATAATGAGTATGGTTGGCCTACTCAAATCCGAAATATTCGCTGGAAACCGAATGCGATTGAAGGATAAAATTTGTTCATGTAAGATTGCCTCGATCCTGGACTGAGGCACCGGATAGTGACGTCAAAGTCAATGGAAAAAAAACAAAGAAATAACGTTGGAGGATATGGTGAACGAACGCACAACAATTCAATATTTGTCGATTGGTTCCATCATTGCTTTTGTTGTTGTGTACGGCGTTCCCCACTTCGAGGAAACACTGCTGTGAAATCATGACATTTTTCCTTGGTTGAATGATTTCTCGTGACATGGTGACTGATCGCGTGTTCTCAGTGCTACAGAATACATATGTTTTTTAGTGGTCTTCATGGGGTGTAATAGAAGCTTCCATTTCGTTGGAAGTGAGTGTCGCGAATTTTCACCATTCTCTTATATCCGTGATACACGCAGACTACCGTGGCATGGTTAACTTGGCTAATATTTGCCAACTACTGATAACCAGTAAGATGGTGGCGTTCTCATCCATCTGAACGTAAATAGGGTATAGTAACTTGACGTATTGTCACGGAGACTTTTTCTCACACAGGAACTCAAGAAATGTGGGGTTTAAGCAGGGATTTCGTTAAGTTATGCTCAGAGGGCGATCAGCATTTTGCAGATGTTTCATCCTCACAGAGATTAATGACAGTGTGATATCTCAATTGAAAATTCTCAAATCTCTTCAAACTGCAAACAACCAAAAAACTAGGTCAATGGTACAGGGCGATAGTTCCTCAAACAAAAAATATTCCTTTACAGAAGAGCTTGGTAAACAATCGATGGTTCTTATTTGGGCAACGTTTCGCTTTTGACACAAAAGCATCAGGCCAAGTGAACAGGTCACCAAATTGGCCAGGTTATAAGACAGACGGGGAACCAATCAGTAAGTCAATCCTCTTCAGATTAGCACACTAGGTCAGTGTTGAGTGCCAATTATCGGCTCTTGTCGGCTAGTGTGGTTGCTAGAATCTCGAATTGATGGATTGGAGGAGTTTCAAATTAGTTCCGATCGATTTTTGTTCCTTAATTTTCCAATTCAGGGTGCTTCACTTGATGATACACCACGGATGCCACTGGTAGATTTTCCTTGATCTTCGTGGGCATGTGAATGTTACGACAATTTATTTGAGGGGAGGGGAGGTGCGTTAGGTTAAGTAGAATCTAGACGATGATTACTCATCCCTCTGATAATCCCACACCAACACGTGTTAGCTCGAGTGACCCAAGACCGTTCTCCACACGCTTGCCAGTTCCACACCTTCTATTCTGTTAACACTGGGATGCTTGGCGATTTCTACCGCCTCAGCCATCAGTCTCTGTGACGTTGACCGTCGCCTAAAAACCTAAATCTGTTTTGTGTCCCGTGTCCAGTTCGTGTTACGCAACTGTCGAGTCTTTCAGTAACGCTTGATATTCATCTGCGTTTCTCGGCGGCCTGCTTATTTTTCTACTATGCTCTCCGACTCTGATGTGTAGTTCCCTGGCCGTCTGTCCTATATAGACTTTGGTGCAGTCATTACACTTGATTTTGTAGACACAGTCCCTGGTTCTGTTTGCCGGGAGGCGATCCTTCAATTGCACCAATGCAGAGCGCAGAGTGTTCCCCCTCTGGAAAGCTACTCTAATGTTGGCCATGTTTAGAATTCTTCGAATTGCCTCCGATGTCCCTGGTTTATATGGAATAACAGCTGTCCCAATCCATTCCCTGTTGGGTTTCTCTACCGGTATCAACACCCTTCGCAATTGACGCCTAATCAAGCTAGCTGGATATCCACTACCCCGAAGTTTGTTTTTTACCTCAATTTGGGCCGCTGTTCGATCGGCTTCTTCTGTGCACAGGGCCCTTACACGCCTAAACATTGATGACGCAATACTGGCGAATACCGACTTCGGATGGGCAGACGAGTAGTTCAAAACTGCCCCAGTGTCGGTTGGCTACTCGTACACTGTGGTCTTTAGTTTTCCCCCACCTCATGTGTCATGCAGTCTAAAAAGACCAGTGTACACGAGTTTGACTCCATCTGCATACTAAATTTGGTCTGTGGACTCAGTTCATTCAGATAATTGTTTTACAGATAAAAATTACCGATTGTTTACCAAGCTCTTCTGAAACGATGACTTCTCAATCGGTTCCAAACTTTTTCCGATTGGTTGAAAAATATTCATTCTTTGTTTCTGAGATGCTGATTCGTTTGCTTGTGTCTGCGACTCGTTTTCAAGCTGAACGGATTCCAAATGGACACGAGAAACACTTTTTCATTCATCTGCGTGGCCGACCATTTTATTTGATTCTCACAGCGTGAAGGGCTGTTACGGTGGACTTTACCCTTAATTCTACAAAAGGTAAATTGAAACGCAAAAGCCGTCAGATTAGTGTCCCTGATAGACGTTAGTTTCGGTCACTACTGTCTCCTTTAGACGATCTAGGGCGATCATTCCACGTCACAACGGAGTTTCACTTGCATTGGTCTCTCCCCATTACTGGCTGTAATCAATGATACCGGGTTCTTTTCTAGCTTCGTTTGACATGCGCACAGAGCGTGTTACTACCAGTACTACTTTCACGGTAGTAGATATGCGGGAAGCCAAGACAAGCAAGCTATGATGCACTAATCAGAATGTAGACAGGAGCACATTTTTACCTTATGAAGGAGCTTGTACTCTCGTAGTAAACGAATACCTACGAACCCATTAGGTACCGTTCCATTAGAAATCGCGAAGTATATTTCTTCTAACAGCTTTCGGCTGATCGTGTTTCCCAGCGAAAAGACGCGCGATTCGTCCTACAGATTAGAGAAATCTGTTCATTTCCTTACCAAATGGTTTGACGGGAGACTCACCTGAAATCTGGTCGAATTTCTGGTTTACGATGTTTTTAAATTGGTTATGGAAGTCGAAAATTTTTTATCAACCTTATGAGCAGTGCATTACGTACATACATCAATCGCGATATCTCGAATATCGTACCAACTTAAACATGGTCAACATAAGCAATTGCTTAAAAACATCTTAAACGATATATTCATCTTGGGTCCAGGCAACTCTGGCGTCAAAACCAAATTGGCATGCAAATGAGTGTATTTCGCTAATTTCGTGCTATTCGGGTTCAAACAGATTGACGGAAATTCGGGGAGTGATGAACTCCAACAAGCGCGGGACCGGTCATGGACTGTCGAAGACCTTCGACAGTCTATTTCAGCAGATTATTCATAGAAAGGATTTGTTTTACACAACTAGCTGAGAGTAGATTTGATAATGCCATTTTTCGATTACCACACTTGGTATTACACCATATTAGTTTGCGCACTGTCTAAGATATCAGTTAAAACAACAGTGCAACTAGGCGGCACGATTAATCAAACAAACAATGGATAGAAAGAGTTGTATGTAAAGTGACAACTGATACAAGGCAGCTTTTGGCTGTCCTTGATCGCCTGTCCGTTCTAGCTTAAAAATTCATTGTAGTGCGTGTACGGATATAGGCGCAGGTAGCAATAGCAATACAGCTAATACGCAGCTTAACGTCCGATTACCCTTGCATCCACAAGTTCGATCGCGACGTGGTCGGAGAAAGACGTGGGCCGACAAAGTTAACGTTGGCCAGTAGTGCGCACACATGTGGATAGATATTCAGAATGCACACTATGTGTTCAGGTTAAATAACCAAACCAGACACTTTTCATAAAGGAAACTACTCACAAATTTGCTGAAAACTCCTCGACAGCAGACGACTGCTTTCACCCTTCTTGGGGCTCATCAGGTAGGCGCAGTCCCCGAGTTTCCGTCAACCCTATGTAGAATATCATAAACCAGAGATTCAGTTAAGTCTCTCGTGAAAACCAAATTGATTTGCAAACGTGTGTATTTCTCGAAAACAGTCCTATTTGTGTTCAAGTGGAACATAAGTTTGACGGAAATTCGGAGACTACGCCTACCTGATGAGCCCCAAAAAGGGCGAAACCGGTCGTGGACTGTCGAAGAGTTTTCAGTAACCTTGTGACTAGATCCCTTTTCGAAAATATACTGCGATATCGCGCCAACTGAATCATGAGGCGACCTGTGCGCAGCACATTCAGTTGTAGAATATCATAAACGAGAGATTCAGTTGAGTCTCTCGTGAAGACCAGATTGATTTACAAATTAGTGCGTTTCTCGAAAACCAGACACTTATTCCAATGTTTTGAAACTCGCTGAAGACCAAAGTTCCTAGTACGGGGAGTTTTATTCGTTGCATTCTCATAGGAATCGTTTATTTGTTTGATGTTAGATGCCAGCGTATCAATGTCAGTTAAGAAAACGTCATCAATAAGCAGCTCCGAAGATCAGACAATTGTTATGCAACCGAATTCAATAAAGGTGACACATAGAGGGGAATCTTTGAACCTATCAAAAGATTCCGCAACGCCCATTTCCATTTGCGGTTTCCCGCTTGTTGCCAATGAAGTATGGCCGATTAGCATTCATTTCCAACCTCTGAGATGATGCTCTCCCAGCTTCCACCTCTGTCTATAAAATCTTACTTTCAAAAGAGCCATAGCATTGACCACAATTCTACCAGGCTTGATGCACATTCCGGACTACGGTGAGGACTCCGCAAAGTCCTATGTGAACACTCCTCACCTCTGGAATTTTGTATTGTATTTTGCAGCTTACTCCCACTCCTTTTTTTATCCACGCTGACAGGCCACTTCAAATGTCCCGTGGCCGTGAACAGGCTGTATAAACCAGGATGTCAGTTTGCTTACCAATGTCAAGAATTGTGTAGGGACCATAACTTCCGGATGCAAATTATGCACTGAAGACGCCAGTCTTCGTGTTGAGGAAAGCGAAATTGAGTGAATTGAGAGAAAACTACCAATGACAAGAATTGTGTAGGGACCATAACTTCCAGATGCAAATTATGCACTGAAGACACCAGTCTTCGTGTTGACGAAAGCGAAATTGAGTGAATTGAGAGAAAATCGAATGCCGAAAAACGTGAGTTATTGTTTCTTGATGATTTTTGGTGACCAAGGGTGGCCGTGTAAGGGATTCCAGCTGATTACGTGCGACTATCCGGTTGCCGAATACCACAGTATCTGCCTCTCGGATAAGAATGCAGTTTATTGGATGGGGCTCCTTCGGAAATGGCTATCCATTCCCAGGGTTAAAATACAGATACTCCGCACATATATGCGCCCGCTACTGATGTCAATTAACCTCAAGTGGAACATAAGGTTGACAGAAACAGGGGGTCTGCGCCTATCTGACGAGACCCAAGAAGAGCGAAACCGGTCATGGGCTGTGGAAGAGTTTTAAGCCAACTTATGAGTGCTTTTCTTTACGAAAATACACTGGGATACTTCGAATGTCGTACCAAGTGAAGCATGACACGGCCTTTGTGCAGCACAATCAGTTGAGGAATATCATAAACGAAGGATTCAGCTGAATCCCCCGTGAAAGTCAAATTGGTATGCAAATGAATGCCTGTGTGGAAATGCCTATCGTCTTCGTTCGCCCCAGAGTCTTCCCAGCGTGCTTCTGAACACAGAATTTTCGAGAAGCCCCTATCTCAATTCCTAAAATATGAGATGAATTTTTATGATAATCAACTAAGCCTACTCCATTACTATGAGTTTCCGTATTTTGGTCTTCCCTTACAGTAAATGCATTTCGGCATCCGTGTGTTCGCAGACATTATTTAACAACTGGAGATCACCCACGTCAAAACATTTCGCGGTAGGATTAAATGTGAATTAGATTCATTGAAGAGCGTTAACGATTACGTTAAGATGCCCTGCAGTCCATACACAATGTAGAGTGCATGCGTAACAGATATCTTGCATGACACTGTGCACAAAATCGTTCTATTGTGAGCTTGTATTCTATTTCGTTAGTATGCTGGCGTCGAATACTTACTCATGCGACATCATAGTCAAGCGGAAGCGTTCAAAAATTTGCATGCTTCAAATTCAAGGTAACATCTTGGCCTACGGACCACAGTATCAAAGTATGGTTTGTCAGGTTTGAGTATTCTATGGGAGTTCAACGAGAACGGACGTTGTTTACGAACAGGATGATATCCTTACGTTGGGCACTTCTGTACTGACCCACCTCAGACAGTTAAATTTCAAAAATCTGCAGAGGTCACCCAAGTGTTTTTCAAGTGGCTTTATAAACAAGGTTGAAACCGGAGATCAACGACTCCGAAAAAGCGTGGTGATCGATGGTCCCCTGTGACTAACGATGGAAGTCGTACGCCAGTCAAGGTTCTATTCACAGATAGGATGCATCGGTCTTTCGATAATTTTATGCTCACTATATTTGTGTG